AGGTTAACTTAAAAAAAGGACTGTCAAAACTAAATGTTGCATTTTTTGATCAAAAATTCCAAGATTTCTACAGCAACGAGATTATGTCACTACCTACAAGATGGCAACAAGTTATTGAACAAAATGGCACATATATATTATAATTATATGTAATTAAACTTTAAAAATGTGTTGAATTTACCTACTATTTACCTAATATATATAATATATATTTACCTAATATGTATTATATTATTATATATTATGTTATGTGTTTTTATATAGTTTTTAAATATAGTTGTCAGATTATAATAATCACAAATTGCGTAACGATAACACGTTACGATAGTAATAAATATAACAGTAATATATAAATTTTATAATTGTATTATATTATTGTCTATTGATTTTCAATTAAACGTAGGATACGAAATTAATCTGAACATCCAGTTCCATTCAGTAAACACTTAACAATTTTACGCTTGCAAGAAGCTTTGGTTGGTCGTATTCTACTTACTATATAAAATTGGACCTTATCATACATACTGTTATAGTGAAAGGCACTTTGTAAGATTGGCTCAAACATTACTTGTATATAAATGTCACAGTCCAAGACGCACCCGACCAAAATCAAAGGACGAGGCTAATATCTTTAATCAGATCCCTCCTTTGATATTCATTACTCAGACTACTAGGGATGTTAGGGATTTGAACAACTTAGAACGAAATAAACTTTATTTCTATATATACGTTGAAAATGAAGTAAGTAGCTTTCATGTTGGTGGAGCCGTAAGCTTAGGAAAATTTAGAAACCGAGTCAAAATTAACCTTTAGTAAAATAAATTTAAACAATAAATAACATTAAGGCCAGGCAGAGACTATGAACTTCCAATTGGAACGATTCTGACACAACATTCACGCCTACTTCACGTCCACATACCTAAGCATACAAGGTCGTCGGTCTATATTACTCTGAATTGAGTGCATTTTTAATTTAATGTCAATTTTTTCGATAAGCTTCCGTCTATGGACGACCAAACCACTGAAGCATTTCTTAATTCTGACCACAAAATATTCTAGCAAACCACACTTATCTCTTACAGTTCCATTTTATAGACGTCCCACTGCTGGGCACAGGCTTCCTTTCAGTTTTTGAGAGGGTTTTTAGGGCAAGGAAATGTCCGCTGCGCTGCCCTAATCTAAAAAAGAAGAAATATTATTTTTTCTTATTTCTCAGACATGCAGATTTTTTGACCATTGGGAACAAAAAGAATTCTCTTTTTGTTCCCAATGGTCAAAAAAATAAAATAAATGGCAAGGTTTTTCAAGCGCCGAAGAAGCTGGCTGGCGTGGCGTGGCTGCCTAAGAAGAAGCGATTTCCGACCTGTCAGAACAAGACTGGCGGAAGTGTTTTCAGAGTGTGTTTAGGCGAATGGAACTTTGTATAGAGCATGACGGAGAATATTTTGAAAAGATGTAAAATAAATATTAATAGTATCTAGAATACTTTTTGTATTTATCTCAAAACTTATTGAGTGACCTACGTATTTTGTTATGGGGATACGCGCCTGACAATGAAATTATATTTGTTTTACAGAAGAGGGCCATAAGAGCAAGCTATGATTTAAAACTTAAAGAGTTTTGAAGCTTTTTTAATGACAAAAGTTTAAGCAAATTAGTTTATTAACTTTTAACTCTCAATACATTTATGAAAATGTAATGTACGTACATAAAAATAAAGGCAGAGTTATACAAAATAAGTGATATTCATTCTGTAAATACTAGGAACAGACACAAGCTAGTAGTACCAGTTACTCGACTCCAACGATCAGTCAGTAATTCATTCTTGGGGCGATGTATACACTTTTACAACCAAATCCCAAAAAATATACATAATTTGACCTGCTCAAAGTTCAAAAACTTTAATAAACAAAGTTTGTATAAAAATAGTTATTATAATAGTAAGGAATTTATGGATAATAGTAACCCCTGAGAATGAGGTGATCGCTACCAAGCTTTTTATAATTTGTTTTGTATGGTTAATTGTGTAACATACATGATTGTAAGCTTTTATTTAAAAAAGTCCCGCGGGTTTATTGCTGGTTCTTCCCAAGACAGAGGTTTATTTTCGAACCAGTGGTAATAAATCAAAAGAGTGACTTTCAATAAGTATTATTTATAATCTATATTGAATAAAAAAGTTTCTGTTTCTGTTTCTGTTTTACAAAAAATCATCATATTCATTAATGACAAAATTAAACAACATATATCAAAAGGAAATGACTATTTCACAATATGCGTCGAAAATAGAGGATTTATTTGTATATCTCACAATTTCACAGACTGATTCTTACAGCGCAGCTGAATTCCTAAGACCAATTATGCCAAGATGGTTACTAAAACATTCACAGATGGCTTACAAACTAGACGCTTAAGAACGATCATCTCCGCTTTTTTTAATAAGATAGAGTGACAAACGAGCACACAGTCACCTGATGGTGTTGCTGTGGCCCATAGACATCTACATCTATCCTAGTTTTTGAATCAAAATGAGGATGTAATTAATAGAATCAGGCGTTACTTTGCGGAAATCCATTATATAAGAGCTTTTAGAAAAATTTACTTCGCAAATATCCGCGTTATAAAATAAAATGATGTTTCTTACCTAGTATGAAGAGCACCTCCCGCCCTTCCACAATTGCGTGCACTATCCTCGTCACCACTAATCCCAGCACCGCTACTGCCAACACCACTACACTAGGCAAGACACACCACTGACGATAATACGATACGTGTTTCGCCTCTACACGAGGCATCCTCAGGTGATAAAGACTCTACGGTGGCTAACCGCTAAGTGAGCGGCGAGCCAAAACAATTGCATTTTATACAGACCGATGACGCAACCGCTCTCTACTTAAGGAGCGAGTGACTGCGTCATGCGATAAAACATGCGACCAATCACCGCCGGACTTACACAGCCGTTTGTAAAATTAAAAACATACCACCGCGCAACGCCCACCCTCCAACCACGCAACCAATCGCCGTGATCGGCTTTCGATAAATTTGGAAAGATGTGACGATTCTTTTCTTGTAATTGTTAAATCGAGAAAATTAAGGGAACAATCTTGTTCCAATTCAAGTTTAAACTTAATTTTGTCAAGGACTCTATTTATTTAATTGAGGAAAACATCCAGTTGTCTCCTTGTGCCAGTCCAGCAAATAGATATGTCGTCTACATATCGATAGTTATATATATATTTTTAATTAAAACGACATAAGATATTTTGATTGACGACTATATGTTGTTTTTCGAAATTATCCATGAAAATGTCCGCCATTATGGGACTTAGAGGGGACCCCATAGCTAACCCTTCTTTTTGTAGATAGAAACGGTTATTAAACCGGAAATAGTTTTGTTTCATACAGAGAGAGGTTAAGTTAAGAAGATCATTTGTTTCCCCGGCATGTAGACGACGTTTTTCAAAGAGATCTGCGAGTATACGCAAACAGTCAGGGGATGGGACATTTGTGAAAAGACTATCAACGTCTAAAGATAACAATATGGATTTAGGAGGAATACGAATATATTTAATTTTGGAAATGAGATCTAAGCCATTTTTTAGGCTGTAAGTGGGGTTGAATCCAGATTTCTCTCGAAGGAGAAGTTTAATTTTTTAGCAAGGAAATAAGCTGGTGCACCAATATATGAGACAACTGGACGAATAGGAACATGTTCTTTATGTATTTTTGGTAACCCATATAAAATGGGTGCTTGAGGATTCATAGGAACAAGATTGCTCCGAGACATGTTGTGATCGGGAAAAACATATGATGACTGTACATGACATGATGACATAACATAATATCCGAAGTAAACTTTTTGGTTGGGTCATACTCCAATAGCTCACAGTCATTACCTTGGATAACATCGTAAATTTTCTGGCTGTACCCACTACTCTCCATAATAACAACAGTATTGCCTTTATTGGCTTTAGTAAACATAAGGTCGTTTTCCCTTATTCTCTGCTTTAGGGACTTAAAAACAGGGAACTCAGGATTGAAATGGGAAGACGCGGGCACAGCCCGAATTTCATTACCTACCAAACTTTTAACGATGTTATCTTTCTTCTCGATCACAACAGCCATCTCCGCGTCAACAGCCATAGTCTCTAACGATTTTTGAGAGAACGAAGGTGTTAAATTATACTTTAGGCCTTTATGTAAAAGTGTCAACTCATCTGTTGGATACTGGACATCGGAAAGATTTTTAACTCGGGGATAAAATTGGTGATATTCTGTGTATGTGTAATCATCGACATGTGAGCAGTTCGACCTACTTAGGCCCCATATCTGAAAAAGTAGCTAATACTCTTCGACAAAACGGCGTTTATGTGGCGTTCAAAACAAACAATTCTCTTAGAAATATCTGTAATAATAAAGATAAGTTGGATATTCGTAAAAAGTCAGGTGTTTTCAAACTTGATTGTGACGAAAGTCACGCCGTTTACGTGGGTCAGACTGGTCGCAATTTCGAGACACGTTATAAAGAGCATTTAGCCGCGTACAGGAATTGCAATCCCGATAAATCCCATTTTGCCAAACATCTTTTGGACACTGGACACAACCTAGCCAAGACTACTCCTTTAAAGTCTTACGTATGTGTAATAAAGGGCTGCGGCTGTGTGTACTGGAAAAGTTAGAGATATTAAAAAGTAACAATAGTACCGTTGCATTGCTGAATGTACAAACAAATGTTACTAACTCACTTCTCTTAAATATCTTCAAGCCTGCTCTCTAATAATAGAAAGCCTCGCAGTATGGTCGTTTGTCACCCTCACGGTCATCTTTTGGACACTGGACACAACCTAGCCAAGACCACTCTTTTAAAGTCTTACGTACGTGTAATAAAGGGCTGCGGCTGTGTGTGCTGGAACAGTTAGAGATATTAAAAAGTAACAATAGTACCGTTGCATTGCTGAATGAACAAACAAATGTTACTAACTCACCTCTCTTAAATATCTTTAAGCCTGCTCTCTAATAATAGAGAGCCTCGCAATATGGTCGTTTGTCACCCTCACGGTGATCGGCGATTGGTTGCGTGGTTGGAGGGTGGGCGTTGCGCGGCTGTTTTTTATTAATTTTAAAAACGGCTGCGTAAGTCCGGCGGTGATTGGTCGCATGTTTTATCGCATGACGCAGTCGCTTGCTCCTTAAGTAGAGAGCGGTTGCGTCATCGGTCTGTATAAAAGGCACTTGTTTCGGCTCGCCGCTCACTTAGCGGTTAGCCACCGTAGAGTCTATATCACCTAAGGATGCCTCGTGTACAGGCGAAACACGTGTCGTATTATCGTCAGTGGTGTGTCTTGCCTAGTGTAGTGGTGTTGGGAGTAGCGGTGCTGGGATTAGTGGTAACGGGGATAGTGCACGCAATTGAGGGAGGGCGGGAGGTGCTCTTTATACTAGGTAAGACACATCATTTTATTTTATAACGCGGATATTCGCGAAGTAAATTTTTCTTAATGCTTTTATAAAATGCAGATGCATTGTTAGCCGTGGGGACTAAGATGGAATGGCTCTTTTCCAGTAAAAAAGGTCACCGATTCTATACACTCACTATACGAAACACAACAGTGTTAAGCTGCTATTTTACGCTGGTATTCTACGAGACTACTCGGAGTTGAAGGACGCAGTGTGAGCTGCACAAGACGAGGAACTCGCACAACCATCTAGTTCCAATACGGTGCTTAACAAGAGGTGTAAGTACTCTAAACTATTTTACAGAGGCCGTGGTAGATATGCACGTTTCCCTAGACGTGGATATTCCAATTATAATAGGGGTTACTATGGTAACAGCTCGAGTAAATCAAGTAAACCATTTGACAACTATCCTAGAGGCGGGCCATCAGGCTCGCGTGAGTTTCTTTCGAGTTCATATCGGGGACGTGTTACTTATGGTAGGGGTAACAGACGCGGCATGTTTACTTTTGTCTCAACATAAGGAACAATCTATCTCTAACGATGATACAAACAATGATAATACTGATTTTAATGAGTTTTTTCGTCAATGAATATTCCGTTATGACTTATAATCAAAATGTGAAATATTTATTTTTTAACATCGAAAAAAGGAAATGTTGATTTTTAATACTGTTTCTCAAAAAGTAGCGTATTGCAGGGACGTATAGCGTTCGTGATGTGGGCTATTACATACTCGTGCCTTTTCTTTACCTTTTACGACCTCGTGCGTTCTCTTTCCCAACTCTCAAAATAATGTCTATTTAAAAAGAAAAACCAACCACGAAGTTTTTACTAAAAAAAATCATAGAAGTTTTTATGATTCATGCAAATATTTCTAAAAATAAGCTACTAATTTGTTTCAATATCAGATTTAATGATTGGATTCAATGAGTTAGATTAGGTTTCATTTCATTCATTCTCATTAAATTACATTTTCATTTCATATAAATAAAAAAATTCTACTGAAGACTTGGCTGTATGGGCAAGGTTCCCTTTGTCTACCCAGAATGGGTGAAGAAAACAAAAAAATCTCAGATTATATTAATAATCCTTTTGCGGCTGGCGTCATTTTCTAAAAATGTTCTTTATCAAATTGCTTAATTTTTGGCAACTGTATTAAAAATAGTTGTTCAGTACACGTGCGAAACCTTCTTCTTCTTCTTAATAACTGGCTTTCCGGCTCTGGCATCTAGCCCTTCTGAGCCTGAAGTTACAATATATTATAATAATTATCCTTTATAGTATACTGCTTTACAGTATGTTGATGCGTCACATTGTGCAGCCCTTGGGAGATTTTGACGGCAACTTGAGCCAGCAGACAGCTGACGGTTAGCGATGGTATCTGAAGGCGCCTAAGCAGATAGAAACCATATTTTGAGAATCACATCACGATCAGATCACTTTTTTCACAGTTTCCAGTAATAGTTCACATGCGCAGACACTTAATACACAAAATCGCACTACTTTTACATATCAAAGTCCACTTCAAACCATTATTTAAACAATAATACAGGAGCAGCAAACCGCCGCCGGTCAAGTTCCCGCCAAAACTCCCGTGCGGGAACCGTCATTGCAACTTGTTCCGACTATCAACCCTCTCCTTCGTCTGCGCCTCGGCTCGGGTAGACATTTGTCGGAACTCTTTGCAATGACAAGCTTTCCGCACTCGTAATGAAATACACTATTTTAATCGACATAGGTGGGTCTCTATTGGCTCATCATCATCATCATTACAGCCCTTCACAAGTCCACTGCTGAACATAGGCCTCTCCCAAGGAATGCCACAAAGCACGGTCCTGAGCCACCTGCATCTATCGACTTCCTGCATATCTTACCAGGTCGTTACTCCATCTAGTGGGGGGACGCCCAACGCTTCGCCTGCAGGTACGAGGCTGCCACTTGAAAACCTTTCTTCCCCATCGGTTGTCGGTTCTTCGAGCTATATGGCCGGCCCATTGCCACTTCAGCTTACTAATCCGTTGGGCTATGTCGGTCACTCTGGTTCTACTGCGGATATCCTCATTTCTGAGTTTATCACGCAGAGAAATTCCAAGCATAGCCCTCTCCATAGCTCGCTGAGCGACCTTGAGCTTCCTCATCCGGCCAGCAGTGAAGGACCACGTCTCAGTTCCGCATGTCATCACTGGCAACACGCACTGGTTGTACAGTCTAGTTTTCAAGTTTTGAGGTATACCTGACGAGAAGATGTGCCGTAATTTCCCGAACGCTGCCCAGCCGAGTTGAATCCGTCGATTGATCTCTCGGTCGAAGTTGGACTTACCTAGTCGGACTATTTGTCCCAGGTAAACATACTCGTCAACAACTTCGAGCTTAATGCTCCCAACAACTACCGGCATAGGTGTGACATGTACATTTAACATGATCTTTGTTTTGTCAATGTTCATCTTAAGACCTATCCGTTGGGAAGCACTATTGAGGTCATTGAGCATAGTGCTTAGTTCCTCCAGCGATTCTGCCATAAGGACAATATCGTCGGCAAATCGAAGGTGAGTGATGTACTCGCCATTGATGTTGATACCGTATCCTTTCCAGTCCAGAAGCTTGAAAACGTCTTCCAATGCAGCGGTGAAGAGTTTCGGGGATATGACGTCACCCTGTCTTACACCTCTCTGCAATTGGATAGGTTTCGTACTCTGGTTCTGTACTCGGATAGCCATCGTAGCCCTACTGTACAAACACTTCAGCACTTCGATACACCGAACCTCTATTGGCTATTTAAAAAATTGAAAATAAATACTTCATGCTGCAGCACCTTCAGCCTCCACTGCCAATTTGACATCCGAGTTCTCCTCGTTCAGATTATTTACCCTACGCAATCTTCAAGACCAGGTAGGCCTGTTGATGCACCAGGTGGATAATATAGAGATTCGGAGCAGGCGGAAGATTCTATTACTTAATGGGCTTCCGGAGGAAAAGAACGAGGACACTGTACAGGTAATAGTGAAGACATTTGTTGACCGTTTCAAGTTGTCTGGTTTCTCGCCCAATGATATATCTCGCTGCCATCGCATGGGCCATACTTCTTCTTCTGACAAACCAAGACCAATCTTGATTAAGTTGTGTGAGTTAGAGGTGAAGAACAAGATCTGGCAAGCTAAGACGTGTTTGAAGGGGACTGGTATGACTTTGTCGGAATTTTTAACTAAGACTCGACATGAAGCCTTTATGGCAGCTCGACGGAAATATGGAATATCGAATTGCTGGACCTTTGTTTTTGTACTGGGTAGCGGTGGCGTTCGATATCGCATTAGCTCTGTGATCGAACTCGATAAAATCGTTGAGCCTCCTGTGTCGAAGTCGAAGACAACGACCGCGGTCAGGGAACCAGCTGGAGCTTCCAAAAGTCGACGTACTGGCACCGCAGGCAAGAGATAGTGTCTTCGCGTTAACTTAGTGTTTAATTACTACAATTTATTTGTATTTTTGTGCAGTCTCCATTTGCATAGTGTTGCATCTCTTCAAATTTGTGCTTTAACTGTAACATCGTAGTTCGTAGTTATCTCTAATATTTTTATAGTTTACCTTCATAATTTTGTTTATTAAGTGACAGAATGATGAAATTAGCGATTAAATAAATCATAATGATAGCTAGTAATATCTGTCATGCTGTCATTCGATTGCACATACTACCAGGCTTTTTGCCAGACAGGATCCATAAATAATATTTGTCTGTTTTATTATTGATGGTAAGACTGTCCTTGTTCTATATTTTTATTATATTAATTAGTCTTAAATAAGTTATGTAATTATAAAATTCTACTTATGCCACTGCCGGCAGGTATGAAAGAAATGTTTAGTTAAGTGCATAATTGTTGGCAATTTAATTTTAATTTTAATTTAATTACTGTTTCATAATATTTCATAACATATTATTATTTATTTTGTAGGTATTATATCCAGACTTATATAATATTTATTTTATTATACATTATACAAGTATATATTTATTTTAATCTTTATTGTTTTTGTTGTAGCTTAGTTTCTGTTATAGTTTTGATTAGCATGTGTGATATTTTGGAATTTGATGATAGTTACTTTTCTTGCTCTTCTTCTGGTTCTTCCGATAAGACCTATAAAAGCGCCTTAAGCGATGATTCCACTCATTTACATGATCAACTAGTAGCCGTATTCTGTAATTATAGTAAAAATCTTAATATAGTCCATATTAACGCTCAAAGCATTCATGCTCATTACGCTGACCTTTTATCAACCTTTGATTCTAAATATGTTGATGCCATACTTGTTTCTGAAACTTTTCTAAAACCTGCACTTCCGTCGGTACAGTATTGTCTCCCTGGTTTTCAACTTATACGCAATGACAGGGTCGCCAAAGGTTATGGTGGAGTGGCAATCTATTTGAGAGCTGACATTCCCTATAAAATAGTTGATCATTCACCCAATATTTACTCAAATTTTGCTGAACATTTATTTATTGAAATTACTATTAATCATTCTAGGACTTTGCTCGGGGTCTATTATCCCCCCTCTCGCAATATAAATTATTTTTCTTCTCTGGAAGAAAAACTTGTGAATCTTACTCCGCTTTATGATAATACCATTATTTTAGGTGACTTTAACACATGCCTATTAAAGAATGATTTTCGTAGCAAAAAATTGCTCTCCCTGGTATCATCTTTTAATTTACATATTCTTCCTCTTTCTGCTACTCACCATTTGCCTAATAGTGCCCCTTCTCTTTAGACCTTATTCTTGTATCTGATGCTGACCGGGTTGCTTCGTATGGTCAACTATCTGCGTCTTTCTCTTACCACGATCTTATCTTCCTCTCCTATAAAATTCAACGTCCTAGGCGTAAATCGAAATTCTTATTCCTAAGAAGCTTTAAATCAATTAACCTGGAGCGTTTGAGAGATGATGTAAATAATATTGACTGGTCCCCTGTTCTAAATTCCGAAAATGTTAATGATAAGGTTTATGCTTTTAATCACCTCATTTTAAAACTCTTCGATATACATGCACCACTTAAGCGAGTCAGGGTTAAACACTTTCCAGCCCCCCTGGCTTTCAGAGTCTATAAAAGCAGTATTGTCCAAAAGAGATAAAGCTAAGAGGCGTTATAAGAAGCACCCTACTACTGAAAATTTATTCACTTATAAAAAACTACGTAATCGCTGTAGTAAGATGTGTCATGATGCTAAGAGGAGACATATCTATGATGAGGTTGAAAATTCTCATTCCGCTCAGATGTGGAAATTTCTTAGAACTCTGGGTATAGGCAAATCATATAATGATCCAAATATCTCGTTTGATTTTACTGCACTCAACTGGCACTTTTCTGAGCCTCCGATTTCGATTGATTGAGTCTGTGACACTTAATCTTCTCTCCAATATTCCTAAGCCGCTGTGTTCTCCTTTTAATTTCAGTAAAGTTACTGATGGTGAAATAAAAAAATGCCTTTTATCTATTTCCACTAAAGCTATTGGCTATGACAATCTTTGTATACAAATGATTAAACCTATCACTATTGAACTTGTCCCTATTATCACTCACATTATCTCTTCGTCGCTTGAGACGAGCTCCTTTCCAACTTGCTGGAAAAAGGCATTCATCATTCCCCTTCCAAAAACTTCTAATCCTACATCTTTATCCCAATTCCGCCCTATTTCTATTCTTCCGATCTTATCTAAAGTACTAGAAAATATAGTTCAGAGGCAACTATCTCATTTCCTAACTGTTCACAGCCTGCTGTGCCCTTTTCAATCTGGTTTTCGTCCAGGCCATAGCACAGTCAGCGCTCTGATTAAAGTGTCTGATGACATTCGCTGGGCCATGGACAAAAAATTTCTGACTGTTCTAACATTATTGGACTTCAGCAGTGCATTTAATTCCGTTGATTATGATATACTTCTTGGTATTCTTTCGTCCTTAAACATTTCACCATCAGTAATCTCTTGGTTTAATTCTTAGCTTAGGGGTCGCTCGCAGTGTGTACACCATGAGGAGGATTTCTCCGAGTGGTGTGATCTTACGGCGGGTGTTCCTCAGGGTGGTGTTCTTTCCTCACTTCTCTTCTCTATTTTTATCAACGCTCTCACTACTGTTCTCACCTCTCATTATCATCTCTATGCTGACGACTTGCAATTATACCGTCATTTCAAAGTCCAAGATATAGATGAGGCTATTAATAAGTTGAATGCTGACCTAAGTAGCACAAGCAGTTGGGCGAAATCGTTTGGTCTTCTAGTTAATCCTGCTAAATCCCAAGTAATGATTATCGGCAGCTCATATATGCTTAATTTATTATATCGTTCGAAGATCCCTGCAGTAACGTATGATAATACTCAAATTCCATATACAGAGACTGCTAAGAACTTAGGTGTTATTTTTGATAATAATTTGTCTTGGGTTGCTCACATTAATATGATTAGCAGAAAAGTGAACTATTCTTTTCAATCTCTCAAGCGCCTCCAGATGTTTTTACCGTTAAAAACTAAGATAACCTTAGCTCAAGCACTTCTTCTTCCTCTCATTGATTACGTTGATGTTAGTTTTTTGGATGCTTCACAGGAGCTGTTGAACAAACTGGAACGTGTTCAAAATTTGTGTATACGTTTTATTTTTGGTCTTCGTAAGTTTCATCATGTTTCAGAGTACAGGGCTCAATTAAAATGGCTTCCTATCCGTAGACGTCGAGACTTACATGTGTTATCATTTCTTTACTTTCTACTCTTTAATCCTCTTGCACCTCCATATCTCCGCGAGCGTTTTGAGTATCTTGTACCTCGTGAAACTCAGTGCCGGACCACTAAACAGCTGCTTCTCAGAACTCCTTCTCATTTCACAAGCCGATGTGGTGGATCCTTTACTGTAAGGGCGGTCAAGCTATGGAACTCACTTCCACATGACATACGTGCTAGCTCTTCTCTTGATACATTTCGGAGCAGAGTAAAGAAATATTATCTATCAACTTAGAATTACAAATATTTATATATGTTATGTATTTATATGTAGGTATAATTGTATATATATATATATATATATATATATATATATATATATATATATATATATATTTATATATGTGTACATGTATGTATATATGTATGTATGTATGTGTATGTATATATATATATATATATATATATGTATGTGTGTGTGTATGTGTATATGTGTATGTGTTTATTATCTTTATTAGTATATATGTATGTAAATCAATAGAAATAAGAAAATAAATTATACTTATATTTTACACACTTATATGTTAATTGTCAACTGTAACTTTAGCCAATTTCTATTAAGTAGTGTTAAGTTAAATATTAAGTACGCACGCTGCTACCTACTTGCTTTATATGTAAAACTATTTCGCTTTCCCAATAGGTTTGCTGGAAGAAAACTCTTACTAGGGTTAAGCTCGCCTTTGTACATTTTATTTGAATATTTAATAATTGCTAGCAACTTAATGTGTACAATAAAGAATAAAGAATAAATGCTTATCACGACAATATTATCATTAATGGTATAGGTGGTGAAATCTGTTCTCAAGTATATACTTATTTTAACGCTTTATGTGCCATATGCATCCACTTATGAACACAAAATTTTATTTTTTTGATAAACTTCCTAGTACATCGAATTTAATACTCGGATTAGACTTGTTAAATAAATTCAAATCGAATATTGTTCTAGAAAATATTTTAACATTACAGAATGACAATAATACAACCTGTAATATTGAAATTGCATGCTGGTATTAAAAGAACTATAAATAATGTAAGCCGACTTTATTTTTGACCGGGATAAAGAAAGATGTAAAGGAATTTATTGGTAAGTGTGAAATAACAATTACGGCTCCTTCAGCTTTCGAAAAAGTGTTCCTAGATGCGGTAGGACCCTTAGATCGTGACAGTATAAAAAGAATTGTTAATACCTCTTGCATTTTCAGTTTTAAAAAAAGTTCATCTAGCAACACATATTTATACAAGTCGTTTTTAAAATATTAAGTTTGCATTAATAAAAATATATTTTATTATTTTAATTTATGAGTATTTGCACTATTTTTAAAATATAAAAAAAAAGTCATACAAATTTTAACACTCTCTGGCCCCCTTGTAAGGGGTTGTTTTGAAAAATCGCAAACACATACCTATATTCATTTATTTTATTTACGTAAAATAAAAGATTTGGTACAAACTGTGATACCCTATTTCATCCTCTTAGAGGTTAAATTTGCCAAAATCCTTTCTTAGTGGATGCCTACGTTATAAAATGCAGTTACTGTCCAATTTCAGATGAGTCAGTCACTCATAAGATGATCTTTTATATTTATTTAGATGAAATTTATTTTGTTAATTATTAACCTGCTCAAAATTATATAAATGATGAAATATTTCACAAATATTGCGTATAGGAAAATTCTAAAAGCTTCACTTGATTATGTAAACTATTTTCATCTCATCTGTCCCTTCATTCATTATTCACTACGAGAGTGGTGAATTACATTACTGAAGTCCATCGAAGCCAAAAATTTACATTGAATTTGTTTCATCGTGTTAACCTAAAACTCGTTATAAAACACGTATAAACAAAGTGAAAGCAATAACTATTTTTCAACACAGCGACCATTTTACCACGTTTCTATTTCTCAGCTATGATTAAAGTTTTCTTTGGTCCATGGATATTAACCCAAAAATGACTTTCAATAAGTATAATCTATTCTATTCCATGTATTATGTTCTATTCGCTGGGACGTTAGTATAAAATCGATTACAAAATTTGTGCCAAGCTGATAAAGAAACAAGGACACAGAAAAGAAAGTTTATATTACATTGTCTTCCAATTCAGAGCTGTATTTATGGTTTCAAGTATATATTTTATCGCAAAGTTAGCTTTAAATCAATGGCAAAATTTGTACAGAACAGACAAAGAGATACAAAAACAAGTTAATAAAAATGGGGTAAAACACCCAAAGTTCATTCGTCACCCAATACAATCGGCTACAAAACGGCGAAATTTGGATATTTGTGTTTGGATGTATTCCGGTATGGTTATTATCGTGTATCTCGCCCAAATTGTAAGTAGTTGTGTAATGAAACCTTTAATATTGTCCAGAAATGTTATTATTATTGCTATTATACAACGAAGGAGACGGATCAAGAAGAGAAACCGAGAATATTGGGTGCATCCTATATACAGTGACAAATTACTTCTATCCCCAGCGTTTTCTTTTTCACATCATATTTCAATTTCTTCTATCAACTATAAAATAGATCATTTTACACGCAACGCCATTTTGATGCATGCGGACTTCTTTTCCACGCCAAAATTTTGAGCGAAGTGACGTTAGTGACGTTATCGATCGAGTCGGCCGACTAAACAATCGGCGTGTATGCGCGCGTCGAAGAGCCCCGTACTGATTAAGCAAATTGCCGATAGTTGATCAACAATTTAGTTTGAAGGGAATCGTGTAGCCCATCAAACTTATTTATCGGCCGATAACTAATCGTTTTAATATGCGCACTCGCATACATCTCAATACTGATCTGCAGCCTTACTTGAAAGGCTACAGATGCGACGTTACCACTGAGAACTAAGATGGAATGTCTCACAGCCTGTTATTATACAGTAAATACTGGCTGTAATTACACTGGCTCCCTATGCCCAAACCGTAACAGTAATGCAGGCACTGCTATCTGGCAGCAGAAATAAGTATGATACTTTTTTCACGTTGTAGAGCCATGCTGCAGCTATATTAGTAGTATAGTTGTAGCACGAATGGGTCGGCTCGACCGGGGAAGGACCACGCTCTCACAGAATACCAGCGTAAAATAGCAGCTTAACACTTCTGTGTTTCGAATGGTGAGTGTAGAGAACCGGATACCCATTTTACTAAGAAAAAAGAAAAGAGGCATTCTATGTTAGTCCTCACGGGTGACGACGCATCTGCATTTTGATTCTTTATCGAGGATAAATGTAGATGTCTATGGGTCACAGCAACCACTTACCATCAGGTGGATGTTAAGTGGTTGTAACGTTTGTCACTCTATCCTATAAAAAAAGAAACTTACCCAGATGGACTCCTAAGCAGAAAACAGCCCTGCCACCTATTAGTGTGGCAACTATGGCATATATGGCTCCATTAGAAAATCAATGGAGCAGCAATGGACTTTTGATAGGCTGTTGTGACTGAATTAATAAACCATATTCTTTCAAACGGTTTCATTATAAACAAAATTTATTTGGAATTTGTAATAATATATTTTTGAGTAGTCTACAAATAAACAAAAATGACGTTTCTATCTGTAATATGGAAAAATCTGATAATTATTGAGTTCAGGGGGTTATTGCATGACATTTTTTCATTTCTCTTAAAAAGTGTATGAACCGGTTGTGACGTAAGATCACAAACGATAGTGAGAAATGCCAGGAGTAATAGAGGCTATATCATATGCACAAATCAAAAAATTTATAAAATAAATGGTCTATTTGATTACCTTAAAACTGAATGTCGCCATATTAATGAGTCCAAGTGAATAGAAGCCGGGTCGGGTTACTAATAATGAATAAAATACTTTATTACAAACAATTTTAATATGTTAAATCAAAATGAGTTATATGTTCAAAAAGATTATATTAAACTTAGCATCCACATTTCTTTTTCCAATCACCTGAAGACGCTAACTTCATAGGATCTATTTCAGGTGAAGGCTTTTTCTCCATGCCTGAGATTAGTAATTTTAGTTTCGCTATCGCTTGTGCTGGGTGCAAACCTTTAGGACAGTCTAAGGAACAGTTCATGATCGTATGGCAACGAAACGCTTTAAAATCGTCGCGTAAATCTTTCAATCTTTGTTCAGTATCTTCGTCTCGTGAATCTATGACCCATCGGTATGCATGTAATAAAGAAGCTGGTCCTAGGAATCTTCTTCCATTCCACCAATAACTTGGACAAGCAGTGGCACAACATGAACATAGAACACATTCGTACAAACCGTTCATTTTCAAGCTATCCTTCACACTCTGGGCATATTGCTGTTGTCCCAAAGGTCCTTGAGTTTTCCTCACTAGATAAGGGCGAATACTTGCATACCCTTTAAAGAAGTGCGTCATGTCAACTACTAAATCCCTTATGACGTACATATGGGGAATGGGATATAAAGACATTGTTTTACTTTGTGGTATTTGCGTAATGCAAGCTAAGCAATTCCTCCCTTGCAAGTTAACAGCACAAGAGCCGCAAATTCCTTCTCTGCACGATCGCCTAAACGTAAAAGTGGGGTCCATATCTTTAATCTTAATCATCGCATCTAAAACCATTTTACCACATGTGCTGACGTCAACTTCAAATGTTTCTACTTTTGGTTTTTCATTCGCTAAAATTCCTGGAAATCGATAAACCTTAAATACTCTTCTCGGATCTATTTGTTTTTGAGGCGTTATTTTTTTCTCTGAAAAAAATCGACAGTTATCAAAAATGTTAGGTACTAAAAACCGTGAATTAGATACCATATATCGAGACATGATTTCTCTTAACAACTTTAAAAATAAACTTGAATGTTTTGTATTTTATGTAAAATCGTAAGAGCAAAAACTAGGAAAGCATTTCAATGTCATATTCCGAAATTGACATCATATTTTTTTTCAACGTCATTTGATCAAAGATGTCATCTTCATACTACATTTTTATTTTTTTATTACAAATTACTAACTTCTTTGTCGTCTTTAACACTAATTATTATAATTATATGAATAAATTAATACAATTATATTATTAGTAATAGATATTATATATACTAATATTACAAGTAGGTAAAGAACCATGCCAACTTTTCATACATTTAAAAACCTGATAGTAGAAATTTTTGAATAGTTATAAGGTGTAGTAGAAAAACTTCCTGTAAGCTTAGAATATAATGTCATGTAGTCATTTTTACGATTTAAATACGTAGCGTACGTAGCCCAAAAATATTAATGTTACTCTTTAGGTAAGGATTTGCCTTTACCAAATATTTAATTTATCTCTTTTTAATGTTTTATCACCACTTGCTCTGAGAATATACTGAGAAAAATATTGTGTATCTCTACATATTTCTATTCTGTATGATCCATGAAAAACACACAAAATAGCACAATACAAAAAGAGACGCAAACGTAACAAGTGATTATATTCTCTTGGCAAAAATGAAGGACTGCGCCAATGCCAATCGTAGAACTGTCAAATGTCAAAAAAATCCGTTTCACTCGTGCGAACTCAATGACATAGTGCACGATTAATTTATATAATTATTATGTAATTATTAATTAATCTGTACTATACAAAGAGTAAAAAAGTAATACTTACTAATTAAATAAAACATAAAATGATTTTTAAAACTCAGAAACAGAGTCCAATTAACTCAGAGATTTTTGATTAACAGAATGTAATTAAGCAGTGTGTGAAATGGAACGTCCTAGAAAAAGTGTAGTTGAGATGCGTTCAAAATATGGTGGTAATACGTTTACCCTTGAAAAATATTAAAAAATATTTTTCTCCTGCGTTTCTTTTAACATTGTGATAAGTGTATTTAATTTACAATTCAATTAGCTGAATTTTAAGATTTATTTCATTTCTATACATAGTCAGGTGAAAAATGTGCATCTTTCTGTGAAAGTTTTTGAGTGTATTTAGGGGCTAATATCAGGAAATAATAAGTCGATTTTGAATCTTCTTTCACTAACAGGAGACTACATTATCCCTGATTACTATTAACTATAAATTATGTATCGAGTGTTTTATTCGCGATATCAGGGTTTTTAACTAGTAAGTCGGATCACTGCTTCGAAGAGCTTTATTTCCTTTCGCTACCTTAACTATTTTATAAATGAAAAAAGTTAATAGCAAACGTGTCAGACATAAGCCTTGAATAATTCTTTAAAAAATCTACGCCGCCGTATGTCTAACTTTTATATTTTAGCTGTTATTATTTATTATATTCAAATATATAAGCTATCATATGTTTGAAAACAAAGTTTTTTTACTAAAGTTTGGATAATTATTTTAGCTACAAAATATTAATTATTTTATAAAATTAATTTAATCGTCATCACAATTGTTTATTAGTGATAACATTTGTCTTTTACTATATGCATTTGGTTATTAGGTTTTAGGCGATGTTATAAAATTAGTAATACAGGAGATCACCTTTACATTTAAAGATGTAACAATATTCATTACTTTGTATAGTTCCATGGGTCTCGTTAGATGTAACTGAGGGACAAGCCAGGAGCTGGACAGCAGTGTCTTACTAATAGTAATAAAAAAATTAAAAAATGTGGATGCTAATCCGCCGTCCAAGCGTGACAATTAAAGCAATTATTTAATCATGCGGCAACCTATGGAGGAGACTTATGTTCAGCATTAGGCTTTCGTTAGGCTGTAAAAACGAGGGTAAAATACGCAATATATGTACCGTTGCAACACGTTTTGTAAATTTGTGGACATTTTTACCGCTAACTCATAGACGGCGTTGTGATGACGATATCATTTTTTGAATGACAGTGTTAAGACTTTCCGCGAAGGAAGGATCTTTAATTTAACTGTTATATAGCTCGCGGCCTTCCTTGAGTCCGATGAAGCTGCAAACGACATAGCAGCATTGATATCACATACAATAGATTAATTCAAGTACGTCGTTAGTTGAGTGTTTTGGTTAAAAATTATAATTGTTTTAATTTTAGTTCCAGAGTTTAAAGCATATTGTAGCTTTTATTCTTCCGTTCGCTAAATTAGTTGGATGAGCAGAGGAGTACCTCATAATAACTACTATTAAAATCGGTACGCCTATTTTGCTTTTTGTCTTATCTAAATTGTCCAATGCAAAGCTACAAATAAAACACTTAAAAGATAACTGGATTATGGCAATCATACTTACGGAGTAGCATCTGGCCAGCTAACGCACATGCCGGGAATTCTAATTCTTTCCGCGAATTTTCCGATATCTTACAAGCGACTCCAGTTTCCTGTGAAAAACTTGTTTGCTCTGCCTACTGAGTTCGAAGAAAAACATTTGCAACTTAATAATTCTCTTGGGCAATTATAAGTTGATTTATCACGAGTTGGGTCTTCCGAGAAACAGTATGTCAAATTTTGTCTAAACAAAATCTCGAAAAAAATATTAATTTTATTTTGGTTTACCTCTCTATTACGCAGAAACAGAGCAACAGCGGTTTACCTGTTTATTTTGTTCTTTTTTGCCTAAGTAGGAATAGTTGACGGTAGTTAATGGATGCCGTGGTAGCTGAGGGGCTATGCGCTCGCTGTAATTATAGCACTCACAGTACGCGGCACCAATGACACTGTTAACTGCAATTTTAAGTGCTGATTTACTACCTGCTTGACGGGGAAGGAAAACATCGTGAGGAAATGCGAATGTCTGTGAAATAAGAAAAAATATTTCGAAGACTAAACTCTCTCAGAACTGAGAGGAGACCTGTGCCCAGCAGTGGGACGTATATAGGATGTAACTTTACTTTACTTAAACAGGAATAGTTGATGGACCATAAAGCCATCAGCAACAGTTAAATAGCCTACTAAAGTAAAGAAAATTAAAGCCCGTCCAGACTATAAGTCCGTGGGGTCTACGTAGTATGAAGTTCTTCTCGGATCTGTATCCGCGATTTGTTGTCGCCGCTGACGACAAGCGGGCTGATTATTTTTCCGCTCAAAGCGAAAAAACGTAGCCAGATTTCTTGGCACTATATCGCGTGGAGTAGGACTGTATGATATTTTTAGTTTAATGTAAAATATGAGATGGTGAGTGCACGCAAACTAAGGCTATGATTAATAGGTACCAATTTTAATTAATAACGTTACGTAGACACATATGTAGACACATGGCTAAGACTGAAAATGAATTGAATGCAGTTATTCAAGAAACAGTTATAGTCTATTAGAGAAAAAATAAACTTTGAACAAGCACAAGCAAGTTTTTAAGGTGATTGAGAGACCACATGGTATCTGTTACTTTTTGACTTTTGATCGTCACTTTGGTTTTTCAGTTTAAAGTGGCACCAATGTATAAACCTAAATCTTTTACATTAGAACTTTAGAACACAATTGTATCTCGGTACCGTTAAAACGGTGAGAGTTAGAGTTACCGTTTCCAATCTCTGGGTCATCCAACGATTATTAATCATTATGACTTAACACTTGAGTTGCCTATTAGGACAGTCCTGTCAGACTAATTCTTAATGTATTTAAGTTTTCAGTGGATATATATTTCTATTTTTTAACAGAACGAAATAATTTATCTAAAAACAATATTAAAAAAAAGAATTTTACGGACAACATAAAAGTAGACAATTCAAAAATATTTTTATTATCATTCAAAGCATACAATTCTATAGCGCATATATTTATAAAGTGGTAAATAAAATAATGACTTTCAATAAGTATTATGTAATAATCCATATTGAATAAAAATCATTCTATTCTATTCTATTCTATTCTATACCCACAATTTATCTATAGGGAGGTTTAATCCACTGAAAGTTTTCTGAGGCGTGATGAATTTGCTCTAACCTCTGTATGTGTCTTTATTTTCCTTTTCATTACCTTCATTCCCTGATTATGGAGGCGGTTAATCCAGCATCATGGGGGTTGGGTCAAAATGACCCGACATATTTCAATTTGTTTAATTTGTAAAATAATTTTGCCACTAGGTACGCGAAAGTGACATAAATATAAGTACCTGGAATTTATTTATTGCTGTAAGCATTGTTGATGACTACGATAACGTAGACGGCTCCGTAGCGCAGTAGCTTAGTAGTGAGTTGCAGGCCGCAGGTTCCAATCCAACAAATATTTGTATGGCCAACTAAAATTGGTCCTCTATAGACTGCCTAATAAGGAAAATATTTGCCATTGTTGCCACGCTTGACAAACTGGTTAGCAATCACAGTTTTTTTTATTGTTTTGAGCTGTTATGAAGAAGAAGCTGCCGTCTCCAGTTTCAACTTCCCTCTGTCGTTTCTTTCAACGTTTACGGGATGGTATGGGATTGTGGTTATTTACTATTTAGCCGTGTCATGTCATGTATTTATTTAATTAACTTACATTGATAATTATTAAAACATCATTTAAATTTTTTTACAACCGACTTTAATATAAATTATTAAGAATAACTCAAAAACTATTGGTCATACCTTGATCAAATTTATATGAGACCACATGAAAAGCAGTATCATTGAAATCGTTTCACACATAACAAAATTATGAGGTAATCACACATAAAAAAATAACATGCAGTCGAATTGAGTATCGTCTCCTTTTTGAAGTCGGTAGAAAATGGTTCGGTATTGTTCATTAAATCGATGCTTGAAAAATAATAAAACAAATAAATAATTGGAGATTATTTTCGTTTCCTTCCGATGAACAAAGGTAAAGTTATTATATTGTACACTGTATTTTATTTTAACCTGTAGTCTTAAATTGTACTTTGTTACTATCTCAAATTAGGTTAGACTAACACTTTGGTTCGTAA